ATCAGACAGTCATAAGACAATCCCTTTAATGGTCTGAGAACTGTCTTAAGACAATTCCTTCAGACGATTTCTTTCAGACGATTATTGCCTTCAGACGATTTCTGTCAGACGATTATTGGCGAGTGCCTCTTTCTGTCAGATGATTATTGGCGAATGCCTATCTTTGTCAGACGATTATTGGCGAATGACTCGGAACACTATTAATCAGTTGAACGCAGTACCGAATAATGACTGACATTAACCAGCGATTGTCTTAAGACTTAACAATTGTCTGAAATAGGATTTAGTGATTGTCTGACAGCTGTCTTATACTTATCTAACAATTAGTAACAATCGTCTGAAGAATGGCCTTGATTCTTTCAGACGATTATCAGACGATTCTCCTCACTGAGCAATTATGTCCTTTATCGAATATGTCATTTTACCCCTTTTTCAACCAAATGGCTCTTTTCCACCGTTTACCGCGAGGTGCAGTTGATCATTATTTCTGACCTGACTTTTGACCCGAAGTGCAATAATACGTGGCAGAAAGGGCCCTTGTCTGTGGTGTCAGGAGCGTTCCTCAATCGTGCATGACTTTAAATCCAACCCTAATTTAGGGTCGGTTTGGGGGAATCCGTCCCTAAATATAGGGACGGTTTCGAAACCCGACCCTAAATCGAAACCCGTCCCTAAATTAGGGACGTTTTTTCAGAAACCGTCCCTATTTTTCAGAAAATGTCCCTATTTTTAGGGTCGGTTTCGAAACCCGACCCTAATATTGGTGCGTTTTCAATGTATTTACCAGGCAGTCCCGTTTCTATTTAGGGACGTTTTTCAAACCGAACCCTAAAACGAAACCCGACCCTAAATTAGGGATGGTTTTTCAGAAACCGTCCCTATTTTTCAGAAAACGTCCCTATTTTTAGGGTCGGTTTCGAAACCCGACCCTAAAGGGAATCCGACCCTAAATCCGACCCTATTTTAGGGTCGGTTTCATGCAGGATTGAGGAACGCTCCAGTAATCTGTCATCTGTCGTCAGCTGCTAAACAGAAACTCTAGGTAATCGAAGTACGGAAATAAGCAATCTCCTCCATCACTATCTGATAGAAAGGGATGTAAACTAACTATTTTCTGGTGTATTATCGTATTTAAAATTATACTGCTGTGAGCTGTGAGATATCGTAGAGCCCCACAGCCGAAGCCCAAACTTGTTTCCGTTTGGATACTGGTAGGTACCGTTACGGTACCGTAAAAGTATATCCCAGAACTGAGAGAAATACTGAGAGCCTGTACCTGTGGTAGCCATCCTACAGGAGGTATCAAGAGGTATCCACCGTATCGAACACCTGGTGTATGCTGGTTGATCGTTGTCAATACCAGTGAGCGAACGAAACGTCACGTCCTCGCACATAAGAAAAATGAGGTTCGCACCTCTACTACTCACTGTTAAGATAACGTCGTTCGCACCTCTATTATCTCGAAACCTCGAAATCGCTAGCTACTAGTAGTAGCTAGCTAGCTAGCCAGTACGTTCGAAAAAGCACAAGTCCACGGAAAAGCCACAAGTCCACGAAAACGAAAACGAAAAAGATCAAGTCCATGTAACAAAGTCCATGTAACAAACTCACTATTAGGCATGGCTACCATGCTGATTAAACTAAGGTCAACTTTACTGAGCACGAACAATGCAAAGATCCTCATGCAGAGTGCCCATAATGGTGTCCTGCTTGATGGCAGCAGTAATATTTTCCTTTGTAATGCTCCTCAATCTTGGTGATGACCCAAGCTGGAGCTTTCTGAGCATTGACAAGTGTAGCCATGAGAGTCCAGAGTGGCTTCCTCCTGGAGTAGGTTGACTTGCAAGCCCTGATATCATCAGCAGTGAAGTTCTTGGCTGGCTTGTTGCCACCAATACCATGCATCCACTCTTGCCAAGCAGAGCCAACAGTTCTGTACTTGGCTAGCTGGCAGGCCTACTATCAGCAGGGTGGTGGCCACAGCTTGTCTGTACTGAGGCTAGTCTGGCCATTCCGGCGAGTCCTTTCCACAGTCAACCCATTTCTAAAAAGATTACCATCTACCTGATCAGGTGTTGCCATCCTTGGAGGCTGAACAGACAATCCTAAAAAGCATACAAAAATACATATTTAGCAGCAGTAATAGCCATATTGCAATAGCCAACAGCCACAAGTCCCCACTTACCTGCAAATATTTCATTGAGTTTCGTCAGCTCCGCGCCAAGCCAAGTCTCAAACCAACCTCTCAAAGCAGCAGCCGAACTGTCGCGGGTCCTCCTTCCTGCGCAATGAGCTGCTGGACTGGTTGTGCTGCGCAATAATCCTTGTCATAATCTCCTCGTTCGTTCGTACCTGTTGTTGCGTTTGCATACCGTCACCTGCCGAGACTGATTGGAAACTTGACGAGTGCTTGCCTGGCCGGTCGTTCCCGTAGTCCCACCAGCCGTGCCACCGCCGCCTCCCGTATCCATCGGCTCGATTTCGTTGATGTGGAGCTTGGTGTTGTGCGTCCAAATAGAGAGAGGCACTTTCACCACAGGTTGACGCCAACAGGAATATCGGCCTTGATGCGCTCGTACCATCTTGGATCCTAACACGAACGGGAGCTCCATCCTCTCCTCCCAAGATTCGTCAAGAGCGGCCCACAAAAGAGGCAGAGCCAAGTGAAGCGAAATGTCGTTGACACAGTCGTAAAAGGCATGTGTCCTTGGCACCACATGCTCATCAACCAGTCGGGAGTCACTCTCTTGGCATCCGGTGTAGCTTGTAGGCAATAGGAGCCCCCATGCAAAGCTTTTCGGCAACACGAGCGTCGATCCAGGGCTGTTCAGGCGAAATGTAGGCATCAACAACCCGTCAAGACAAGCGAGCCTTCCAGCACCTCGAATGTCAACTTCGTCAGCAGTAGCACCCATGCCTCTTGCCAGAGTTGCAGCAAACTTCGAATGCTGTGACTCCCAAGAACACCAGCAATGAGGAGCCCACAGCCAGAAATGGAGCCGACAAAAAGACAGCTTGAGAATGTTGCGGTAGCTGCGTTGCAGTGCTTGGGAGCCAACTTAGGATCGCTTTCGGGAGTAAAGAGGAATGCATCTTCCCGACCAGCGGCGCCATACCCGTAGTTGAAGGACGCCTCATGTAATTCGCCAATCCAGCATGCACAAAAGTCGTATCCATCGACCAAGAATATTTGGTCGGGCATTGTCGTTCTTCCGAAATATTCTTGGACCAAATGCACCTTGCAACTGAGCGAAAAGGGAAGTCTGGATGGGCTTGTAGTCGGAATATTCAACTTGGAGATGTCGTCGTCCTGGTGATGAGATGGACTTGCTCTTCAACATGCAGGCTGTACGGATGGTCGATTCAAAGCTCCTTTGCCGTAGAGTTCATGGACCACCTTGGATACTCAGTTTCCGTCAAATCCTGGTGGCACAGGACTTTCTTGCCGCGGTGTTGAGTCTCCGCTTTCTTGACTTCCTTGACCACTTCGTTCAAGGATCGGACTTGGTTTGGATTGCCGGAGGTTCCATTCAATGTGGCACCTTTGATGGTCATGTAGAAGGAGATAGCTTTCTTGTCTTGCTCAAGATAGAGGAGCGGCAAGTTGGATTCTGCCCGAGGTCTTTGAAGTCAACATCGGTCGTACCATACGCACCCCATTTCAAGTAGTCGGCAACGTGGTGTGGTTGGATGCCGGCCAAAGCACTAGGTTGGAAGCGAGCCGCCTTGGGTACGTCCTCTTGTGCAGACAGCTCATGAATTTGACGAAAGTCGCATGGTAATCCCGGTTGTACTTGGGCTGTCCGTGGGTGCGTCAGGCAAATCCGGCAACGTACTCGACAAACCCAAGGGCTGCCAGCATTGGCATGTTGGCCATGGTGGTGAATTGTTTGTGCTCAACTAAGCGTTGTGTAGGGTTTGGTGGAACATTTCGGCAGAGTTTCCTTTACAAAGTAGAAGGATTGGAAAATAATGAGTGAAAGTAGAACTGAACTGCTAGCTACGGAGCGATCGTCGATTCGATCTAATCACGGATTTCTGCGTTGGTTTGCCTCTTTGTTGAGTATACACGAACGATTCGTACGCACTCTTCGCAACGATTGATCTTTTGAGTATACCTCAACTGGAACGGTTGGATCGGATCGGAACGATTAAGAATCGGCAGTATGTTGTGTGGTACTTAAGCGAATTATTGGAATCCTTCAGTATGTGCATTGGTCTTATGTATGCATGCGCCCCTGTTATATCTTCATCTGTTGCAGTTTATTTAATATGAGAGTCTTATTGAGAGGATCTTTGTTTCAATGACTACTGATACTGTAGACTTTCTACGTAGCATACTGTCATTGATCCTGAGGGTATGTAAGATCCACATAAGTAGTAGGGAAGCACATACTGACCCTGTGCACACTACTGTTGCAGAAATGTAGTACCGTACCATTAGTACCTCTTCAGAAAACAAACAGTTTTGCTAAAGTCAAAGCGTCTTATAGCCAAGGCTAAAGCATAAACTCTTCCAAGACATTTTGGTGCATTCACTATTAATTTTACTGTAAGGGATCTGTCATAGTGATGACGAGGGAAGTGCCTGCGCGTTATGTCATAGTGAGTAATGAGTATGGCTTGTAGGCAAGTCGCTTAGTGACTAGTACGTACGCTGTACAAAACTTGCATACGTTGACCCTTTCGCTTCTTGGATGCTGCCAATGTTGGGGTGGTTGCAGTTCTGGATTTGAGATGCTCGTAGTTTCGTGAGAAGCTTAAAAAATAAATACCTACCTAAAACAAGCCTCCAGCCAGCGTTCTGGTTGCTGTTCGAAGTGAGTTTTATGGTCGAGACCCTTCCCTCTTTTCATACCGCAGCATACTACACGTACTTTCAGACCCTTCGCTTCGTCTTAGTTTTGCGAATTGCTCCTGACCACGACGAGAGAAAGTTTTGAGCTCATCAATTTCCATATCATAGTACGGTCGCACAAAAACAAACAGAAACAACCAAGATGGAGGAAGCAAAAGTAAGTGTGAGAAGTGCGGGTATACAACCGTTGCCCACTCAAAGCAGCAATTTGAGTGAATCCACGAGCCCGGTCAGATTGTGGCTCCTGCTTCTCTGCAACAGGAAACTGCCCCCGTCCGCCGCGATGCAAGGGCAGGAGTATCACCCTACTCTTCGAACAACCCTAAAAAGGAAGAGCAAGAACAAGCCCTTCCTCCACCATCTCCACCCCAACGAACCACCACGGATGAACAGTTGAAGGAACGCCTTCGACCCACCAGGAGTCGAGTCAACGGAAGCAATGCAGACACCGTACATAACAGCATCCGTGATCAACCGAGCATTGCTGAGCCCATGGGTTTGGCTTCATCGACGCACCAGAGTACTACCGGTATGGGAGCGCCAACTCTTTCCGACGTAGCACTGCCAGAATGGGGTTAGGAAGAGAGTGAAAGAAATGCCAAGAAGAGCCCAAGCGGCGAGGCTCCCGTTGAAACAGAGAGGTCTGCTGATTCGAGAAGCGAAGAAATGACCCACGAAGATGGTAAAGAGGATGAGGCTCCCATTGAAACTGCTGATGCGCCTGTCCAGGAGCAACACCGAGGACACGATATGAGCGCTTATGGTAGAAGGCTCAAGTCAAAGTTCGTCGAGGATCCCTTGTTTCGAAGAGCTGGCTCGAATGTCGAGCACAGGACCAGTGATGCTAGCAATGCCTCAGCTCGTCCAGGTGCTACATACGCCCCAGGTGGCACTGTCAATTCCACTCGCTTCCACAGCTTGCAAGGCAATAGTCGAGTCAATGGAATCCCTCCTCCATCCGCTGTTCCCCCTCTGCATGCAGTAGCAACGAACTCGAATGCGGATCCTGAAGCAGGAGTGGGTGGTTTGGGAAACCTGATTGAGGCCGAGTTGGTTCAGGATCCAGCTATTCGACAGTTCCTTGATGAGGATGTGATGGCGGCGGAAACAAGGAGTAATTGCCACTGCTGTGTCGGTGGAGGTTGAGCAACCAAAGAAACGGTTCAAGAGTCTGAAGTGGATAGTCATGGGCGCCGTAGCAATTGCAGCCATTATTGCGGTAACAGTTGCTGTGACGACTTCGGCATCAGGAGATGACCGCACCGGCACCACAACAGAGGGCAGCACCGCAACGGAGGCGTCTGGATCGTCGAAAACAGGCACAGCCTTGATCCTAGGTGCAATGCAAGACTGCTTCATGGAAGATTCTGTTTCCTCCACTGGAAAGAATGGCACATTGCGTGTCGAGGGAACTGCATCAGTGATAGATGTGATCAACGAGATTAGGCAAGAAAGAGGCTGTCTCTTTGATGTGGTTGTCAGATCGGAAGACGACCACCCAAGACATCACATCTCATTCGCGTCCACCCACGGGTTACCACCCTTTGCCCATACGCTAGGCAAGCTTGGACTACCAATCATGTGTAGGGATTTCCAAGGAAGAGCTTCTTGCTGCCCTACTTATTGGGTTGAAGGGCCGGAGAGTCAGAATTGCGACCGTGTCTTGTGTCCTGATTCATCCAATATGACTGAAGACGCCAGGGAGCGTGTTTTGGCTAGCCCTGCATGTGAATTGTGCCTGGATGACATTAACAACCGCTGCTTTTCTACTCGTCAACAGATGTGGCCAGACCATTGCGTTCAAAATGAAGAATCAGGGATTCCTCCCAGTCTCTACACCACCGACGGCGACATTGTGTTGAAACGAGGGGACAATCCCTACGTTGATGCCTACTCGGCGTTTGCGGACAACACGAACAGAATTCCAACACCATTGCACGCCATCCTTGAACAGCTTGAAATACACACTCTGTACCTTGTTGGAGTTGCAACTGATTTTGGTATCTTGTATACTGCCACACATGCCCGAAATCGTGGTTACAATGTTGTAGTGGTTCTGGATGCTACTCGCCACATTAATGATGCGTCATACGAGGCTGCAATTCAGCAAATGGAGGAAGAAGGAAGTACCGTTGTCTATGCAAAGGATGTTCTGGCCATGGAATGCCCTGATGGCGCGAACTAGGTACGGTTTGTATTGCGTGGTTTGTAAGCACTTTGGAAGGCTTGAGTTACCCAATCAGTCAAGCTTGAAGAGCTTTATGGTTGTAGCTCGTGTAAATGGATGCATGAATACGTAGAATAATTTTTTTAAAGAGCAAGTTTTGTGATCTGTGATCTCTTGCACCAGTGGGTATGATGCGCACCGGTACATCGTAGTCATCCCTCCCAATGTAGCTCGTAGCTACGGTCAAGACCAAGAGCCGAGCATTTTCAACCTATGGTGAGTGGTAAGTTCCGCCGATTGAGACGAGCCTCTCTACTCCTAGCCGAGACGCTTCCAAATCCGCTACTAGTAGTAGTTTGCTTTCAGTCTTCGGTTGGTGTGGCTGGTTCCTCTGCGCCACACCACACCAAGCCAGGAGGCCGCCGCGAGTTGTTGCACCTCCTCCTTGCGCGCCATCTTCGTTTAGTCTGAATGCGGAATCGAATCTGCTGGCTGCCTACCGGTACTAGCTAGCTAGGCACCCATTTATCAGCAGCTAGCTACGGTAGTACCGGTACATGTACATGTAGCTAGTCTACTAGCCTCGTGGAAGTGTGGAACTGAGTAGAAGCAAGTATGGAAATGAGTACAAGCAAGTACGGTTGTAGACTCCATAGATAAGCGCCTTGGCCCGTAAAAGGCTAGAAAAAAAGCACATCCCCGCAGAGCTCCCGCAGCTGTCCTGGCTTTCCCGAAAGGGGCTAAGGTACTTAACGAACTAATCTTCACAAGGATCGACGTCTGCTTTGATCTTTTGTTCCGATATTATTTTTACTCTGGTAAGGTAAAACTACCGTACGGACCCAAGTACCAGCCAGCTAGGGAGTGGGCACCGGTACCGTAATGGAATTATAGTGATCGTTCGGAACACTGCTTCAAGTCTTTGATGGGACCTTACAAGGTAAAAGGGCGCTGCAATCTCCACATCAAGGATGCTCTCACAATCCTCCAGAGCGACAAAAGGGATTGAATCGATCTTTAATGACTTGCATTTCGAAGATGTTTCCTCGAGCCTTGGCGTTGCTCTTGACGTTGGGATCTGCTGCCTCGTTCCCGGTAAAGTGGTGCCTGGACTACAAGCCCATTGGT